CGGAGGCAGGAACTTGAGAACCCAAGCAGAAGAAGCTAGCAAGTGAGCAAACAAGAAATGCAAACAGCGGTGTGGAAATAAACAAGAAGGACTAGGCAAACATGACATGAGTGTTTTACAATATAGCATATGTACATATATACTGTATATATATACATATGTGTAAATAAATGCACTTGTCGGTGACTAGTTGTTGTTATTCATATTTGTTTTCCTATTTTTAAGTTTTTGTTGTTTGGTTTTGTTTTGTTTTTATTTATTTTTTTATTATTATTATTTTTTTAATTTGAAATTTTTTTTTGTTTTCTTTAGTTTTTTTTTTTAATTTTTAATTTTTTGTTCTTTCTTTGCTTAAAGACTTCTTACCGTTGGTCTGGCGCATTCTAAAACCGGTAACAAAACAATTTGAGGGGAAAAAAATGAAAAGCCAAGCAAGCAAAATGTAAGGAAAAAAAGTGGATTAAAATGTATGTTTCTTGAGTCTTAACTACCGCACACGTGCACATACAGACACACACAGAAACAAATAACGCAGTACAGAGAAAAATGTGCAGTTCTTAGTGGAAATTCTAAACGAGCAAAGCGATTAAACAACAACAGCCGATATTGTAGTACTAAAACAATATCTTGTGTACTTAAATAAGTACTTACATGCATTTGTATTGTAGTTGTAGCGGCAGATATGGAGGTGGAAAATTGAAAATTAAAAGGCGTTACATTTTCCAACTTGAAGGAATGAACAGTTTGTTAGGGTGAATATATTGCAAAGGTGTTTTGAAATCAGACAAGAAAGGTGTAGCATTAAGAAACAGTAAGAAAAATAAAATAATAATAATTCAATAAACTAATTATTTTGTTATAAAATATACATTTCTAATCGTAGAATTTCTTCAAGTGCTCGACTAACTTTAATCATTCAAATTAAGTTATTGTAAATTTTTATATTTCATGTGTCAAAATGCGATCAATTTATGGCTTATAAATAGCATATAGCACATAAGTATATGTATGCTTTTTCAAAGATTAACATTTATTTGGACAAATATTGAACAACCTTAATCCCACAAATATACTTGCGCTGCACGTAATATGACATTTCGCATCTGATATAGCATTCATTTAAAGAAACCATATTTTAAATACTTATCTATCTCTAATCTTATGCATTAGTTAATCTTGTGGTAGCCGTCTCCGATACGCCACATCACTACTCGCGCTCTTACCAATACATGCACATGTGAAAGCAACAAGAGAGAATACATATGTACATACCTCATTAAAGCTTATACTAGCTGCTTGTTCTATACGCCACATTCCAAGAATTGGCGTAAATAGTCTAACGGGGCTGTATGAAGAATTACAATAATATTTAAAACAAATTAAACAAAGTTTTGAAAACAATCAATAAAAGAAACTAATGAATGGATTGTTACGAATATTATTTATATTATACAATAAAAGTTAATCATGACGTCACCGACTATAATATTTTGCTGTCAAACGCGCTTCAAGACAGTTTTCTGTCGTAATCTCTATTTGTAACATTTTCGATAAATAAAACTGTAAGCCTTTCGAATACGGTCTCTTTTAATTCTGCTTAATACTGCCTAAATTGAATACTTACTTTTTAAATTGCATATAACTAAGCCAAATGATTCAAATATATACCTGTGTACGCACGATCAAGATTTCGTGTCATTTTATTTTGTTTATGTATTCATAAATTTCCCAATGCATAAAAAAATCCCAGCTTAAGGTAATTGGTTTTCAAGAAAATCTGCACACATTAGTTATTACAATATACATATATATGTATATACATACATATATCAAGCATTTAACGGCACACGCCGAAATACAAGTATATACCTATCTACACACAGTAAACTCGTCTAGCTGCAAATATTCCGTCATAAATTATAATTTGTCTCAAAACAACTGACACATTTGTAATTAAAATTCTTACGAAATTTTTGAAAACTTAAAAAAATATACATTTCTCAATAAGTTTTAGCCATTAGCTGACAAAATATATGCACACAAGCACAAATCACCCATATGAGTTACGCGAAAACTATGCGATCGAATGGTTTTCACGGACGAGCGGTATCGAGGTGGAAAGATAGATTACAATACATATGTATGTACCTACTTTGCAGTAGGAAAAAATATGAGCACAATACGCACATGTACAAAGCAGACAAAGAAATACAGAGAGAGAAAACTATTTTTATTTTTTGTTAAAGTGTCAGGGACGTACTTATTAATGCCATCTTGTAAAGAAAGAAATATATACAAAATCAAATTAAATGAAAATGTTGGATAACCGCTGTGGCAATAAACGAACATAAAGGCTAATAGAAGTACGAATTTAGAGGAAATAACTGAGTTTGAGCCAAGTAATGTTGTGAGTGCGTGTTGAAAAACGGGTTACTCGGCCGCACAGCTGACACATGGCGGCCGCGAACAGAGCAACAGATGAACCTTGAAGATAGTCAAATAGAGCAGAAGTGTGAAGCTGATGAATATGTGTTTGATGATGATGAAGGACGGACATAGACACTCAACATAATGGATAACAAGTGCATGCGGAAGCAGACATACACATATATATATAGTACAATACAATGAGTTAGATGAATTATGTTTTTAGCAATTGAAGAAAATGCACGTGAAACTCGTCTGGACCTGTGCACCACGCTGAGAGAGCTGAGGGAGCTGCAGGCCGAACAAGTTTGCTGGAAGATAAGTATAGAACTTGTTTAGGGATAGAATGCAGTTGGCGGAGAGAAATAAATAGCAACACTGCGATAGATTATGTTGTCAGGAAAAAATAGGTATAATGGGATATAGATACAGCTGTAAGAGAAATAATTGGGCGATTAGTATAATATTATATATAGCATTTTTTTTATCACATTAATATAGATAGAAAAGATTACCAAAATTTTATGGAAAGTTTTAACAGAAAAACAGGACTGTTTTTTGGGGTTTTTAAATGAAATGATACGCAAATTTAATAAATTGAAAATTAGTTAAACAACATGGAGTTTTTCAAAGCGAGACGAGAGTTCATATTCTGAGCTAAGAGAGCAATAAATATATTTATTTAATTCAACTAATCTAAAATTGGACTTAAACTAAAGCAAAAAGCCGCTCGAAAAATATGGTTTTACTGGACTATAAATATATAACAGGTTCATTAAGCCTCCCCGAACAATCCATATATATATTGAGATGATGGCTCTCGCTTACAATGCCTGGGATCGCGCGCAATTTGTACGAATGCCCAGTATCGC